ATTTCCGACAGATAGTATGGCAACGTCTTTCTCAAGAAAAATACAAGAGCACAGTAAAAGGACTATTGTCAAAAAATTTTCCTAAAACCTTTAATTTTTTTGGAAAAAATTACCCGCTCGGCTTGGTAAAATTGCGTATAAATTGCCAAAAATTAAATTACCAGTTTAGTTTTTTTTAGCTTTTTTGGCGAGGATTTGCCGAAGAAAAAAGCCGCAACCCCTATTATTGCAATTATGATTAGTATTATTCCTGCCGTTTTCGGAGGAGAAGGATTTTTGTTTTTTTGGATTTGTTTTTGAACTAATTCTTTAAGATTGGTCATTGTTTGTTGCCCGCTTCCCATATTGTTGTCAGCAAAGGCTTGCGGGAATTTGCGAGCAAAATCCTGATAAGTTGTGAGCAATTCATTGCAAAATTCTAAGGCTAAAGTTAATTCTTGCTGGTTAAGATCGGAATCAGCAATATAATTCCCCACCTTCAAAAGTTCTGCTTGGAAAGTTAGCAATATCAACTTAATTTGCTTTTTAGTTTCCTCTTCCTCGTTTTCTTCGTCCGGAGCCAAGGTTTTCAATTCCGAGAGCAAGCTCCGGATTTCTCCCATTGATGAACCGGGAATTTCCTTTAACTTGTCAACTACTTCCATTATTTTTGCTTCTTGTCCTTCGTTTAATCTTAAATAATTAAAACGAATGGCAGACCGAAAAGCAATTCTTTCCCAGTCTGGTTGGTAGTTTTCTTGGCAATTTTGCAAGTATTCTAATAAGATTGCCCGGGACTTTTGCCTTACTTTTTGGTCTGGGTCATAATTCGCACTTGGATTATCAACAAAAATAATACTGTGATTTTTAAACATGGAAGCAATTTTAGGCTCCGGCCTGGTTTGTAAAATTTTCACCTCTTCTTGACACTTTTTCTCGTTTTGAAACCAATGGGCATCAGTCCTAACGACAGTAACAAGTTTTTTTATCTCTGGAGATTCTTCAAAAAAAATAAATGAACTTAATAAATCGTAATTTGCGGCAGATTGCTCGAAAGTAGTCCTGCCTCTTACCACAAAAAAAATTTGGTTAACTCCGTGGGGAGCATTCCGACCCGCTTCTCAAAGTTTCTTCCAAACTGCTTCTCAGGTTTCTTCAGTATCAGTAAATCCCGGAGTGTCAACTACTCGATACTTTATTTCCTGATGGGTAAATTCTTCAACTTGGCAAGCTTGGGTTGTGCCCCGCCAAGCAGAACCTTCGACGAATTTATTAGTATTAGTCAAAACATTAGCCAAAGCCGACTTACCCACACCAGTTATTCCTACTAATAAAATAGTCCTAATTGCTTCTGACCCAGTTGATTCGGTAGTTTGGTTGCCCTTTCCCTTATTTTGTGCGATTGAGGGTACTTCGTCCGCAATTATATAAGGCTCAGCCTCAGTTTCGCTATCGTCCGTGGTTAAGACCAGACCCGGACTAGCGGCCAGAACCGGGAAAAATAAACTTCTGCTAGTGGGAGTAAAAGTCTCGCTCCCCTCCTCGTGAGCTTGATAAACTTCGGCTAAGACTTTCCAAGTGTGATATTTTAACTTTTTCCCGTCTACCTCGTATTCTTCGCGGTCGTAATTTTCTGCGGCTTGTTGGTATTGTGCGATAAAGGCTAATTCTTCTTCGGTTAATTCTTCTCTTTCTTTGGCTAGCACATCTCGTAGACTATCAGTAAAAATGTTTTTTAAAATCTGGTTGGCTTCTTTAACTATGGCAAGTTTCCGGTCAGTAAAAGTAACGGCATCCCACACCCCCAAACCTTTATAACTTATCCTAGCAATATGTTCTAGTTCATCTGATAAATCACTGTAATTGTGGTATTCAGAACCATACACATCAACCCAGGCTTGCTGGATTTCGGCTTTCATTTCTTCCCCAATCTTTTGTTCGTTAATTCCTCGTTCGGCTAAGTGACGACGATATTCCCCCTCCCCACTAAACAGCAATTCCCTATTTATTTGGGAAGGAAACGGTCGGATTACTTTTGGCATGATTTTCACTATTATTTAGTTATAAGGAGTTACAAACTAGAAATCTCGCAAAAAAAAAAAAAAAAAAACGCTTTAATTAATATGTATATTAATTAACTTTGCTATGCTTTTTCGCTTTTGGCGAACGATTTTTCATTTTTAATAACTACTTTTTTGTCTTTCCCAGTTAATTTTATTTTTTGCTAAATAAACTTCAACAATATCTTTTTCATTCATACCTAGTCGGCGAGCAACTTCTTCAAAAATTATTAATCAGTGATAGAAATTTTTCTGGTTTTCTTGCGGACGGGTTTTTTTCTCATTTGTGACTATCATTTTTTCCGTGGTGGAAAAAAGTGCTAAGATAAGATTGTTGTATTGAGTTATGGATACAGGAGACAGGTCGCAAGGAATAATGACAGAGTCGTTGTTATCCGAGAATATTGGCGAAAATTGGTAATCCTTAAAATCAATCTGAAAAGTATTCGCAAAACTCAAATAGAAATGTAGACAATCAATCAATTCTTCTTTTGCTTTTTCTCAATTAACTTCTTTGTGCTTTTTTCAACTCTTAAAAGTTTTTAATTCGTTGGCTAATTCGCCAATTTCCACCAAAAAAGCAATTTTGGTCCGGATAAAACTTTCTTCACTATTACTGTCAGTAATATTATTTTTTTGAACAATAAACTCGTCCAATTTTTTTTGCTCTTCTTGTAATTTTTTTAAGGTCAGGCTGGTTAGCATTGGGAGTTTTGTTTTTACTATTTTGCTGATATAGTATTGGTTATTTTTACGATTAGTTTTTGTTTGGAGGCTTATTTTGGCGAAGATGGGATTTTACCTCTCGGAAAATATTAAGAAATAGTTTCCTGCTTTTGACTGTTTTTTAGATTATTTGTAATTTTAAAGTTTAACTGTGGGGTAATGGTTTGTTAAAAAGGGTTTGGAGGTTTGTGGAATAGTATTATGCTTGTAGATTGAATAACACTAGTTCGCGTGACACTATTATTAACTCATTAATATTTAATAACTTGGAAAGTCAAGCACTAATTTTAGGCAGGGTAATAACTGGGGTGATTTTAGGAATTAGTTGGTAAACAATTTTTACTACTCGATTTTCAGCAAAAAAGTTATTAGGCTGGTGAAGGAATATCAGTAATTATTTTTTTCAACAATAAATCTACGTTTTGTCCGGTTTTAGCGGAAATTAATACTATATCTTTTTCTTGACAGTGGAGAAGTTCTTGTAACTGAATTTGGACCTCTTTTGTGCGAGCAACAGGCAAGTCAATTTTGTTGATAACGGGGAGAATTTTTAGTTGGAGTTGTTTAGCAATTTCGTAGTAGGCTAGGGTTTGGGCTTGAATGCCTTGGCTGGCGTCAACTAAAAGAATTACTCCCTCGCACGCTGCCAAAGAACGTGAGACTTCATACATAAAATCTACGTGACCGGGCGTATCAATCAAGTTAAAAAGGTAAGGCTCCGGACTTTCGGGGGGATAACGAAGTTGGACCGCATTCAGTTTGATGGTTATTCCTTTTTCTTGTTCTAGGGCTAGGCTATCCAAAATTCTTTCTAATGACTTCTGGCTGTTTTTGAAATTAGTCAATTCTAATAAGCGGTCAGCCAGAGTTGATTTGCCATGGTCGATATGGGCAATAATGGCAAAATTGCGGATTTTTTTGGTTTCAACCGACATACTTATTCTACCAAAATTTTTCCTTTTATGATTTCCACGAATCCCGGTTTTACAAAACTATTATTAGCCAGCTCGTCGAGCAAGTTATCGAATTTCTCAGTATCAGCCAAAATTATTTCATCCAGTCCTGCTACATCTCCTTCTTTAATTTTCCTTTTTACTCCCTCGTATTCTTTGGCACTTAAAGTAATTAGATAGCTTTTGGCTCGACGATGCACGTTTTTCAAAGCCATCCCTTCCAAATCGGCTTGCTTATATCTTTCTCGTAAGGAAGTTTTGATACTTAAAACAATTGGATAGCCTTCCGAGTTATACAAAGCAATATCATAGTTGGCATTAGGAACAAAACTGATTTTGGCTTGATAATAAAAAGGCAGTATTTTCTTAGAATATAAACAAGCAGCCACTAAATACTCAAACAGTGTTCCGTTATCATTTCTAGTCAAATCATTATTCATCACTTTTTCTCAGGATAACCTTATGAACTCCGAAGGAGAGTTAATACTCTCGCCCCACTTTTCACCAAAAACTTTATAGTAAGTTTCAATTGCTCTATTTTTTTCGTTAACTCTTTCTAAGAATTTCAATGTCATAACTATTTTTTTTGTTTTAACTTTACTTTTATTTAATGTCAGGCAAAGTAGAAAAGGCCAACTTTTCAGTTCAACTGAGTTACTAAATCTAAACAACGGTGCTCTTTGTGAGTTTGGAGACTTTACTAATTATCTTTTTAATTTCAACTTCAACACTAGCTTTGTTATTACTATTTTCCGAAATTTTTCTTTTTTCTACTAGGCACTCTTTTTTCATTCTTTCCAAACTGTTTTTAATATATCCTTGGTTAATTTCTAATCCCAAAGCATAACGTTGGTTATTAATCGCTTCAATTAAAGTAGTTCCGCTTCCCGCAAAAGGGTCGAGTATAGTATCGCCAATGCAAGAAAATAACTTAATGCATCTCCGGGGCAATTCGCGAGGAAAAGGGGCGGGATGATTTACTCTTTTTGGATTTTCGCCCGAAAAAGTTCACATTCCATTAGTTCATTCCACAAACTCTTTTCCGCTAATGTCCGATATTCCTTTTTCCATCTTTTTTCATTCTCCTTTGTAGAAAACAACAATAACTTCCACCGGGGAAATAATAGAAGGTGCTGAAGATGACGCCCAACTTCCTCAGGCAGTTCGCCGGGAAATATTTTGTTCGTTCCAAATAATAGTGGTTTGATATTTTCAACCTACTTTTTTAGCAATTGCGGTAATGTCGGCATAAACACTATTTTTTCCGTTTTTATTTTTATCAAGAGGGATATTGAGACATAATCTACCGGTCAACTTAGCCCAAGAATAACAATTTCTTAATCAAATTTTAGAAAAATTTAAATATTCTTCATAGGTCAAATTGTCCTCGCTATAACCATAATTAACACCCACGTTATAAGGAGGGGAAGTAATTATTAAGTCAATGCTTCTTTCCTTTATCGAGTTTTTTTTCAAAGTCGACTTGTTTTCTATGCCCAATAAATATTTTTTTGCTCTCTTATTAATCATTTTAATTGTATTATTTTTCAAAATTTCTTTTCGCCGACCAAAAAACATTACAATATTAACATGGATAATCCCATAATTTTTGATACTCATTGTCACTTGGCGGACGAAAAATACCAAAATTTAGACCTCAAAGAAATAATCAGGGGGGGTGAAAAAGCGGGGGTGAAATTTATTCTTAATGTTGGTTATGACGGGGCTTCTAACCAAAAAGTAGTCGAGCAGTTAAAAAGGTTTGCTAATTTATATGGAGCCTTGGGTTTACATCCGAACAGTAATGAGGACTTGACAGAGGAAAATTTAATCTGAATAGAACAGCAATTAACCAACCAAAAAATTATCGCTATTGGAGAAATTGGTTTGGATTATTATCGCACTTTTACGGATATTGACAAACAAAAATATTGATTTAAGAGGCAATTAGAGTTAGCCCAAAAATACGATTTACCCGTGTTATTACACATCCGCGAGGCTTTTGCTGATGCTTACGAAATAGTGAAAAAAAGCAAAATAAAAAAA